CCCCAAAACCCCAAAACCCCATAGATTAAGAATTTATGCTTAATAAAAAAATAATGAAATATCACTGATTCTTTATACAATTTGGGGGCCGTTAAAACTAGGATCTACAATCATACAAATAAAGTTCAATTAGCACATTTATTTCATAATCCTTTCCAATTTAGATATTATTTTTCAATGACTCTTCTAAAGAATGGCATTTTCTTTATAAATTTGTTTTCATATTCGCTTAAATCTATCTCACTTTCATCAACTTTAATCTTATTAATATCAACGGCTGGCTATTGTTGGAATATTTCATTCCATTTGATAGGTTCAAATTATTTCTTAGACATATTTTTTTGAGAGTTAATTCTTTCTACTTCCAAATCTTACTTTAATTTGCGCATTTATTCCATTTATATCTCATGATTTATTAAATTTTAAGTTAATTTTTTATGCTCAGTAACAGGATAAAAGTTATAAACATAAATCTCATCTTCTTAATGTTTGTCATAATTAGCATTATATTAATCTATTTCTGTAGTCATTCTATCAAAAGTTAAATCTTAATCTGTTTAAATAGCTTTAATTTTTCTCTACTTTTCTTTAAATAATCTACTCTTTTGCAATTCTTATTTAACATTTAAATCCAATTAAATCTTAAATTTTCTTTGTATCCTTTTTCTTCTTATATATAATTTAGAGGTCATTCTTTTTTTAAGAATAGAGCAACTATCTTTAAAAATTATAACTACGTTTACTATCAAAAATATCAATGCTATAAATAATGGTACAAGGCCTAACTTTTGCCTAGTAAAATAATCAATGTCAAAGTGATCTAGGAATGGAATAAAAGAATATGTAATAAGGAGATTGATTATTTCATTAAATATTTCGACATTATTCTAATGAGAATTTTCATAAGGCTTAACTTAATTAAGATAAAGTGTCATAAAGAAAGACTGTGCTATCATAAGATTCAATTAAAGTCCTTAGTTCTTATCAAACATCACAATTATGAATGAGTATATCAGTGCTCGAACTATCATCAAGTTCATAAATATAGGTTTTAGCATATTAGCTATATCATTTAAAAAGCCAGATTTAAGCCTTCTAAATCCTTTTTTCCTTTTTATAATCTTTAAATCGGTAAAGAAATTATGGTTTTTATAATTGAAATTATATATTGGGGCAAAAAATGGAAATATACAGCCAAAAATGAAAAAATTAATGCTAAGAATGCTTGCAGTAATGTCAATTTATAGAGGTACAAATTACAAGTTCCAAAAATGATTCCAAAAAAAATCTTAAAATAAATCCAATAATCAATGTTTTATCTGTCAAAGCATTTATGATTCTCAATCTATATCGCTAAATGACTAATTAATTACGATCTAAATTAATGCCTGAACTATTATAAGAGCAAAATTAATATTGTCACAACTAGAATCAAAAGCATGAAATAGAAAATAGCTCCAATGTTTTTTAATAGATTAGTTGAATCGTATCCCATAATTTCAAAGTAGTAATTATAAGAAGTTTCATCAAAATCATCTGATTCCTAAAACACTATTTCTTCGAGAGATCCAATCGGAATAAACTAGAAACTAGTGACATCATTAATGAATTCAAATAGCATCTAGGTGTTTGTCGGTATAATAATAGCCATTAGTGGTAGATGGGATATCAGTTAAAAACTATTGATCATTCCCCAGAGTAAACTGAAACTTTAAGACCTATATTATTCTAAACATATCTAATTTACAAGCAGAAGTTCAAAACCAGATTTGAACTCATAATTGTCAAGATTCCTCTTTTTACAATTTCTCCAACAAAATCAATTTCGTTTTTAGCATCTAAAACTTAATAATCAAAAGTATTTTATACCAATCGATACTTATGGGGGTATGTGCTTTTTTATTAAATTCATTTCAGGAATTATCAATCTCACTTTTGAGTCAATGTAAAAGTAATATTTCTTGAAATAGACCTCCAAAATATCCCATCGCTTAAAGAAACTGTTAATATGAATAATTACTGAAGTCATTGAGATATTTTTGTAGTCATCAAAGTGTAGCTAAATGATCAAGAAACTATCATAAAAATCAATTACTGTGTAATTAATTCTATTTCACTTAACTCGCTGATCTATATAAATATGGAGTGAATCATTTAGAATCTGAGTTGCATTTAGTATCGGCATCATTTAATAGTTAAATCTAATGATTGTCTCTCCATCCTCTCTAATTTCCTACACTTTAGCTCTCAGAGTTCCAGTTAAATTTAGTTAAGAGACACGCTATATATATTAGTTTTCATATTCCATTCCTATTTAAGACTCTTTCATAACAGTTAACTTGATCTGATATAAATTGCTCATCGGTTTATCATTATAATCAAATAGAACTAGGGTAATGTTGTATTATCCATTATCTCCAAGTAGAGGTTTTATGCTTAAGAAGTTTCGAAATATTAGATTACTAAAATTATAGACCTTTTCATTGTCAGCATAAAATCTTACATCATAGCGATCATTCTCTTTATCAATTATTTTAGGCAGCATTAATTTTTGAATTTAATTTTCATAAACAAAGACATCTGTTACATTCCAAAGAAAGTATGGAGGAGTATTGAATATCAGCCAACTTGACAGCTTAACCACTAACTCCCAATCAAAGTTAAAATGATAATCTTAATCGAGTCTAGATAGTTTTATGAAGAATCTTATTTTGTAAGCTCCTACATCTCTTATGCTGTTGCTTAATACTTAACACTCAGTTGTTTTATCTTTATCGCAAGTAATAAATTTTGGCAGATTAGTACCAAAGTTTTCATTAAATACATTGTACTCTGCTAATTCTCCATAGCATTAACTTTAACTCAATATTAGCTCTTAGAAACTTTATTTGAACTAATTCTTTTAGCCTACATAATAAAAATGTTTTCCGATGAGTTTCGAAATGCTTTCTTAATTTCTCAAATACTACAAGCAATTAAAGTATATATTGAAATTCCTTTTAATAGAAATGTAATTTGCAAACTTTACGGAATAAAATTTTATAAAGCTTTGTTTCAAGAGAATTTAGTAGTATTAAGTGTATGAACCAATTAAATTGCTTTGAACTGGGAAAAATTCTAGATATAAATCTTTATTTTAAGCGAAATCTTCTTGCTAAAATTTGTATTTTGAATCTGGTCTATATGCAAAGAGATCTATTGCAAGATTAATATCAGAGGCATCTGTGCAATTAGGCAGGGTAAAATTTCCAATAAGGATTTTGCAAGTTTCATTTAGGTAGCAGTCGTATTAAGATAAGAGGCCGTTTGTTGTTACTAAAATATTAAGAGATCCTGTTTGATATGGTCTATCCTATATGACTTTTTCTGTTGTAACGTAATTATTTTGAGCGTTAAAAAGCCAGTCATTGCTAGGAATGATGGTATAGGCTTTGTCAAAAGTAACAAAAAGGTTAGTTATGTTATCAAAAACTTCCGATGTTAAGAAATGAATTTAGCCTTCAATTTTTGTATTGTCAATCAAGATTTACTAAGTTGTATCACTCTGTGAATAAAGTCAATCATAACTGAATTTCTGGTTACTACCATCAACCCATAATACAGCAATTTAATACTGATTATTTGGTGAGGAGTAGAAGATGTTACCAACTAGATAATCGAATTAATATTTATCAGAATATATCATCTACTTTACCAATAAATTAACATTCATCCATTCTATCAATTGAAAGCTTGCTTCCACATGTTATTGGAATGAAGGATTTGAAACAGGAGTAGCGTAGCTGATACTCATTTTTAGGACATTATTTTTTTCTTCATTAGTTATAACTGAATAGTAAATCTTTAATGAATTTTGAGGATCATCGATTCTCATAGATATGCATTGTGAACTTTACATAGAAGTAATTGTTTCCGTAAAAGTAAATCCCTCACTTTTTGTATAATCATCAAGAGCAAAACGTATATATCCCAGTATGAACCTATTTGAAACGTCGTGATTCATCTCAATACAGGTGAAAGCTGCTTATTTTCGTAAATCAGTAAGACTTAGCCCCACATAAGGAAATAAAGAATCACTCATCTTCACAGAGATCCCATAATTAGATATTAATGTTTTCATTTCAATCTAATATGCAAAAATTCTCAAATCAGTTAAACTTGTATAGTCACTTCCAAAAACAAAAACATTCTAAAATTAATTATAGGTTAGTTTAGCATTATTACTTTTTAATCACTGGAAATGGATAATGAAGAAGCTATACCTTTGTCAATCAACTTTGCCTACCTTAATTGTTTTCAATGATTAAATATTTTACTTTTCTAGTGTGAATTTTAAAAAATCTATTTTAAGGAGATGAACTCTAAGGTTCTAATCTTGCAGACAGACAAAAATCTAGTTTTCTCCGTTTATAGAAATCATTTCTCTTCGAAATTGCTATTACTCACTTGATAGAATTAGTACATCAGTAGCTATTCCTATTAATGTATTTAATTTGACTATGCCAACTATATGCTTTGAATTTTCATCAATCCCATTCATTAAACAAACTAAATTCTCATTACTAACAAGATTTAATGAATTATAGATAATTTACTTTATTGCCATTGATTCGACGCTCGTTAATTATCTTGTAGTAACTTAGGTTTACGTGACGCTGTCTTTATATTACAACTAGAAGCTGCTAGCCCAAGCAAGTCTATTAATAGGATCTTTGAATGTGTAGAGAGCAACGAATGGATTAGATAATTCCTTAATCTTCTAAGTACCTCCATAAAAGATCATGTTTTCTTCTTCATTTAGGATAAATGTATTAGCTATATAATTTTTGACAGGCAAATCTTCAGAATTATCATCGGCAAAAGTAAGTGGTAACTATTGAGTCTATGAAATGCATCAATTTCTATATTTATCTGGTTGATCTAGGCCATATATCAGTTAAAGACTCAAGAAACAGATTTCTGCAACAAATATAATATTTAAGAAGTGTAAGTTTATTCTCATTCAATTAATTAATAATTAAGCCTTGGAATAATTCCTAATTTTTGCTATTGGTATTTATTAATATGTGCTTTATTTTCATTTCATTGAATCTAGATAATCTTAGTTTTATGGGGTTTTGGGGTTTTGGGG